AAGCAGGCGTCGCTGCGAGAGAGCCTGCGCAGTCGGACGACGTCGGCGTCGAGCGGCGGCGGCGTCGTCGGCGCGCGTAACCCGTCGCCGGGGGGCAGCAGCAGCAAGCCGACGCCGCCGTACTGCGAGCTGTGCGACGTGCAGTGCCCTCTATGCAGTGAGCCCGCGCACTCGCACGACACCGGCTACGGCGTCTCGCCCGACCCCAGCATCTGCTCGCAGGACCCCTCCGCGGCGCATGCGCACCTGCCGCGCTCCTCGCAGCAGCAGCAGCACCGCCACGAGGCCGCCTCCCCGCAGCAGCACGCATATCAGTACTGGATGGAGACGGGTCGCTACCCGCCGTGCGACGCTCCGGGAGCGTTGGACGCGCATGCGCAGTGTACGAGCGAGCTGCAGCGTGAGGCGTTTCGCTGCCGTGACGGCGCCGTGCATTGCAGTGCCGACAGCGGTACGGCGCTCGTGCTCGTACCCATGGACGACCAGAGATTCCTACGCATGCACTGCTCCTGCGAAGACGCCGCTGCCGCCGCCGCCACCGCCGCTGCCGCCGACGACGACGACGATGACGGCGGAAGCGGCGACGCTTTGCGATACATGGACGACGACAACTGCGAGGGTGCCACTGCCTCGTGCAGTCGGCAGGCGACGACGACTGTGTAATAACTCGTGTAAACCCCCCTGCTCAGCTCAGCACAGCTCTCTCTCATCTTAACGCCTAGATAGTAGATACACAAATACACAGTCAAACCCCGTGCTAGCACAGATCACCTCGCTAGAACGGACACCTGTATATAAGGGACACTTTTCCTAACGTGACCGTTATACAGAGAACTGTTTCTGTAGAACAGACAACTGTCGCTGAAGGGCACCTTTAACCTTTCCGTCAAACGCTAATACACAGGTTTGACAGCATGCAGCCCAGTAGAGTAGCAATTCTAATAAAGAAAGCGCTTCTTTCCTGGGCTACATATTTGCAACTAATGTGTAACAAGAGGCGCAAAAATCTCGCAGCCGGTAACGCCTAGCAGTGAGATGAGATTTTTTGAAACGTTAAATTCCAAGGAGTTCTTAACAGCTACTGACGTTTTCTCGCAATGGTGACGACGCGGACAACTTCTGAGGGGCGTGTGCACACACCACACACACTGCAGATGACGTTGAAACATTATTGCTTTTTCTTCGTTACACACGTTCTCCCGACTACGGCCGCTCGCAAATGGAACTGTGGCAAGGAAAGTTACGCCGTTGAAAATTGTCGCGTTTTCATCCGCTTGCGCGAATTTATTATGTCTTTAAATGGCAGGCACTCACATTTCGCTATTCACTCACCGGGCAACCGACTCGTCTATCAGGCTCTGATTGTAATACCGGCGGGTCTGCAGCCTATATTGCTTTTGCTTGTGTACACTTATCATAGGCTCACTTCGCGTGCCACACTGACTGACAGCAATATTCAAAGGCACTTGAATTTCATGTAAATAGATTACACACGCGCACGCGCGCAGACAAACGCACATCCATACGCACACGTACGTATACTCGTATGCACGCACGCACGCGCACATTGGTACTTCATAGCTGCGTGACAGACAGCGAGAGCGCATTTAACAAACACTCAAAGTAAAACGTGTTACTAAGACCTTATTACTTTTATAAGGCTCTTCATTTGGACATGCTGTGCATCGACCAATTCTTCCTGGTACTGGCGTGAGCATATGCTACGTGAATTCTACAGTCAATGTTCAACGGTTCGTGGTGACAGTAAACATAATGCAGGTGGCATTGACTTCCACTGCCAGTAGCTCTTTCCATCATGACCGTCGAGAAGTATAGGGGAGGGAGGGGGACTTGTGGACATGCCGGACAGTATTTAGGCTCATGGCTTCCAGACATTTTTGAATCTACGGTGTATTTAAGTGCATGTTCCTTTTCAGATATAGTATACTCGCTATTTATATTCAATCTTCTTGCAGCACTTTTACTGCGCAATTTCTTTAGCGTATTATATACACTCTCATCTTATCGTACGAGTACGAGCGTGCGTGTGTGGGTGGGTGTGAGAGAGACAAGGAGAGATAGAGAGTGGGAGAGTTTAGGAGAGAGAGAGTAGGAGAGCGGAGGGAGAATATAGAGGCGAGGGAGAGAGGGAGAGCTAATAAATTGGTGTCAGATATACATCGCTACGCCAATCTGGCATATTTTAACTAGCCTACACCACGCTTATTACCCATATACGTTTCAGTAGAGGCACTAGCAAGGGGATCACTACCCCAATATCAACATAGATATTCTTGTACAAGCACATATACTAGCTGATTTTATTCCGACTAGGAATTCAATCATTGGCTGTTTTTCTTCGATGCGTTAATCATGTTTTACTGTGACTGTATAATATGCACATGCTCGTACGCGCTCACGTACGCACTCGCTCACGCGTGCACTCACGCACTCACTCACGCGTGCACGCACACATGTAAATAGTATACTACGTTTACTAAGTGTCATATATGCACTCGTCAGTGACACGGCTGGTATGTTGCAAGTAGCCTATTACATCACGAACACAACTCCTCACACCCCCTTGCCACGATGGGACGGGCAGCGAGAATGGATATCTCCACTACTCTTAATCACAGCATGTCCCCCTCAATCCTGCCTTACACAAGTGTTTGATATAATTGTACCATAATTGACCTGTTTACATTGTATCTAATTGATTAATTTATTTATTTTTGTACGAATAAGTGGACCTATTTTTCTTCATAAGATTTTAAATGTAGTCGTTTAATAACTCTAATTGTGTCAACTTTCTAATTGTGAATTTTTCTTGATAATATAACCCACTATTTCACATTTTACGAACTCGTACCATCGATGTTTACTGCTATTATGGTTTCTCTCGTTGCAATTACTCAGCTATATTTAACAATATAAATGAGTTACAACAGTAATTTTGCGACGAATACGTGTGAAGATTGGCAGAAATAACAGCGCCCTTGAATTAATTACACTTCACAGAAGGAGCTAAATGCGACAATTTCGTTGCACGAACATTGAAACACACTCGAGTTCACCAGCGAACCGTCTACCTGTTAATGACTAGATTAATCAATGCCTTGGAGAATACAGTCTGTCAGGTGTGCTGCCATACACGGACGCAGTATTACTGCTTGCGGATAGTATAGAGAGGAAGATTAAGTCGTAACTGAACACACACGCAGAATTTTCGGGCAGGTTTGGAATGACTTTCGGAGCAGATAAAAATCTTCGATCATGGTTTTTCAACAACCCGCAAGAAAAAAAAACAGGTGGAATGCAAGGTGAATAAATATAAATCTTTTTACGAAGACGTTACTCAGCTGCTATTCCAATGTTAGGCTGGGAATTCGTCACCGAATAAAAGAACGAATTGCTGAGGAAAAGAGAATAAATATTTATTTTGTGGGAGGGGAGAGTTATATTCTCACAAACACAATCTTCTAGAGTGCATTGGACGTGAAATCCACAAGAAAGGGGGGTTTTCTATAAATAAACGACCGTAGCCGATGAAAAGAACTGCTGACGATAACGACAGGGTTCAGAGACAGCGAATTATTTGAGGCTATAATCAAGTCCGGCGTATAGCACCTGTACAGAGCGACCAAAAGGAAGCAAAAATAGAAACACTTGAATCGATTTGGCCAGAGATACAGCAAGGATTCGTGATATCAATTTTTCTTAAGAACTGCCGTGCACGATGAAGAAAATACAGGATGGCTTCGTGAAAGGGGAAAATGATGGGCGATTTTAACATTCGAAAACGCATTCATAGAAGTGATCATTATTTATAATAAAGGATGCTCGTTTCTTTGTTATTTTTTCTTCGTCGGCGATCTAGCAATTCAAAGGTTCCTAAACATGCATACATACACATAAGTATTTTCAAACATCAATGAGCCTAATATCTTTTGCAACTTCACGACTGCGTTTCCAGCAAGCTACGTTTACCTCGTATCGTTTGTGCCACGGTTAGTCTGTACTTTCGAAAAATCCCTTATATTACGCAGGAAAACGATAACAATGACAAATATGCAAGACATGCAAAATGTTTTCGTCATTAACTAGCAGCAAACACATCTAATGGTGCAACCTGCAGCTGCTGCGTTAAATTCTCACTGATCATCTAAACACCTGCCTCACAAAAGATTGATTTGTGCATCCTTTACCCACAACAATCCATTTGTCTGCTATGGATCTACCAGTGCATATATGCGAGGACCACAAATGTCAATATCAAATTGCAGTAACCACATGTCATCTGTGCATGGTAGGCCACACATACCAAGTAAAGCCTCAAATTAAATTAAAACTCAAGTAAAGTTCAAATTGATGAAACCTAGCTCCTTCATTCAAAACTACTTCCAATTGCTAAATTTGTGACAATAATTCATAAACATAAAAACAAATACATACTGCTGATGGTTTAGCAATTTTCCTATAATATTGTTTACTATTACTTAACCAACAAAGCTAGAGAGACACCTAAAAAGCATATAATAGCATATGGAAATTGGAATACTTGGGGTGCAAATGCAGAATAAGAAGTACATGCCGAGCGTGACAGATAAGTGGCGCCACCAAGTAACGAGCATGTTCGTATAATATAATGCCATTATTGGTCCAAATTATCATCTCTTACATACTGTTATAACCAGAGAGTATTAGTCAAATGTTCCTTGTTGTTTCTTTACACACTATATTTACAGCTGTTGATATCTATTGATAAGCGCTGCCCTAATTCATCTTTCTTTAATAAAAAAAGGATCACATTCTTATCTCTACTATATCTTATTGAGACACAATAGTTTAGCTCAATAGAACTAAAAATAAATGAAAAAGTTCTTTTCAACCAAACAAGAATTCTTGTTTTGTTAAAAAGAACTTTTTCATTTATTGGATTATAACAAACAGATGAACTTAATCAACAAAAACTAAAAAATACTTCTACGTCCACATACCTGTTTAAGTCTGTTCAGAAATTTTAGTTCTGCTTGAATTCTTGTTCGTAGCTTCTGACTCCCCGCGACATTTGCATACGCTTCACATCTGAAAGCAATAAAAAAGGCTACAGCAATGGGCCTCTCATAGTTATATACATACATGTGACATGTCAACTCCCACTATCTGACGTGGGCAGCAAATGCAATGCCACGTGTTTGGTATGTCATATAATGATGCAGATGGTGCTTAAACACTTACTATGTACGCCATTTTGTCGCGTACAGATACTTTCGCGAATTCAGACTTGACGGACAATTTCGCGAGTGGTTAATTTCGCGGTCGGTAAATTCCCGAATCAGTGAAGAACAGCGTGTTGATATTTTCGCGGTCAGGGACGCGTTCGCGAAATTCGCAAAAATTAAACCACCGCGAAATATACAGCTTATACCTATCGCCTTACCTATCCAGCATGTTCTTTCCCTTTGCCATGAGATGCCGCAGCAACACAAACAGTGCTCTGCTTTCACAATCGCATGAGTCACCACAAACTTCACAAGGCACATTCTCTCCGGCTACTGGCAGAGATGTCATCGGTTGTGACTCACCTGACATTGCTAGTACCACTCGAAAATCGTCTGCAATTAGAAATTGATTTTATTCACGAGCGACATTTCTTTAAATATAAAATCAGACTTTAAAAAGATGTACTGATAATTTTATCATATAACACAGCCAAAGAAATGTTTTATGAGTGATTTGAGTTTATTGAATTGTGATAATTTGAGTATACTTGGGATGAAACTATCGAAAATGTCAAGTAAAATATATTATATGACATTTTTAGTTTTGGCCTTTGCCAGCCCAATTTCGAATAAATAGAATGTGGCCTATATACTAGAACCAATTATATACAGTTGTGTAAGCACTATTACTAAAACTACTACAGTTAGCAGTAGTTTAACACAGAAAACAAGAACTCTCACTTTATTTATTTGGGGTTCAATCTCATTACGAAGCTATTATTTATTTTGAATTTATCAGTGAACTTTTTTATCATTGGGTTTCTCTTCTGTGTGAACACACACATGCACCAACCGAATAAATAGCAAAGAGGCATTGTATTCACATTAATCACACACACACATATCGCTTCTCTCTTGTGTGAGTGAGAATAGGTGTTTTACTGAAGATGAACATGGGTAAACACCTATCACACACATAGGGTTTCTCTCCTGTATGAATCACACAAGTTATTTCCCAGGTCTTGTTGATTTGCATCATTTCATGAACACGCCAGTGAGTACCTGTGGATCATGTACACTCCCCATTGGTGTAGCTGATGGTTTATATAGAAATGTTATGTATCATATTTAATATTATATAATATAACCTGCAATGCCTGTTTCTTTTGCAAAAGAGTTTAAGCTCAAGATTGGCTTTTTTTGTGCTAACATGACTACTGATGATGCAGCACTCTACGAATGTGCATTGTACCCCAGAATCCCCCGAGTCCCATGAGAATGCAGCATTCTCGTTGAGTGATAAAATATAATGTCTGAGCTTCAGTTTTGATCGACCTCGCTACCTCCAGGCCCAATCCTAGTTTAGTTAGTTAAGTAGATATTAAAGATGCATTCCCCCGCACATTTTTTTAACAAACCTCTGTAAAAACGTAAGTAAATAACTCTCTACACTTTAACTGAACATTAGCTTTGAAAATAAAACTGTACAAATATGTATCAAGCCTATATTCCCTCAACGAAAAAAAACAACTTGGAAAATCGCGTTTTGCCGCGGTTCTGTATCGTGGCGGCAAGAGTCGACGCAGGTCATGTAACCAGCACAGCTATAGATATCATATAACATATGTGTTATATGACATCTTCGAGCATATGCAGCCTTCATGACCTTCAGCCTTGGCAACATCGCATGGAAACAAAAGACGCGTCACAACATCGCCGCAGAGTGGCAAAAGTAAACGCTGTTTTAAACATTCGACCCGACACTTTCACTTTGTAGTCTAAAAGCTTTGAATGAATGTATTCCTGAGCATTTTTTTTACCTACCACACATATATAGGCAAGTACAAACGGGCAATGTTCTCCGCAGTCTAAAAATCTGTTGTTTACAGTTTCAAACCGCTGCCGGCGAAGCGGGTGTGATACAGATTTATAGTGCACCGGACATTTTCGCACGCATGCTCGGCCGTACGCAATGCTATCATTAGTAATTTCGTAAACATGGACACTCGTAATAAGGAACTTTTTGTCAGGGCTGTCCACGTGCATCCGTGATTAGTACGTGTGTTTCACGTACTCTATTTCCATGCTTAGTCCGTGGCCGTGGTTACACCGCTGACACCTCTGTTTCATCTGGCATCCAAAACATACGAGCCGCACAAATGTTTACGTCATCGCTTGACTCCTGGATAACATTTACGGCACGTAAATGATATGTTGATACATATCAACAACCGATTTCAAGTCTTGTTTGTAATGTAACCAGCAGTGATATTGGATAAACTAATACGCGTTTGGCTATAAGGTAATGTACTTATTAACTACACAAGGTGCCAGCTCGTCGACATTGCATAATCAATGGTCCTATTAATCCTTTAATTTCTCTATACCCCAACATTTGTGAAAATGAGGGCCGGGGTCCTAAACTAGGATTGTGCCACTTCCACTATTTCGGATCACCCCATACGTGCCATATATGAATGGTGCTTATAGACAAAGCAGTTTAGACATGTGCCGATATTGTTGACAAACAGATAGACAACAGGAGGCTGCCAGCCTGGCCGGGACAGTTGCCAAAGACTTTTGCCATTTAACTTTGCATCTCTCTACCTAAGCTAAAACCTACAGTGACCGTTTCGGATCAAGGATAGTGATAGTTTGGGAACACCGCAATATGTTTTCGCAATATGTGCTACACTAATCTGGGGTGCTAAACTAGGCTTGGGCACAGGGTTCATCGCTCGAGATGAGCCATACACAACGTGATAAAATTACAATGCAATCGATCACCCAAGACACAGGCACTTGAAGCGTTTCAACTGTAAACACACGCCGCTGCCATTGTGCGCACACTGACACATAAATATATATATCTATATATATCTATCTATATATTTATGTGTCAGTGTGCGCGCAATGGCGGCGGCGTGTGTTTACAGTTAAAACGCTTCAAGTGCCTGTGACCCTAGCCCGACCAGGCTGTGCAACGGATTGTCTATACATTCTATGTATTCTAACCCTAGCATTCTATGTATTCTAACCCTGGTCCCTAGCATTCTATGTATTCTAACCCTAGCATTCTATGTATCCTAACCCTAGCGATACCGTTACAGCTACAGTGACCCAAGAGATGGCGAGCTGATTTGTTTATCTACAAAATTTCCGTTTATTCACTGCGTTATTTTGCTGTGTATTGTGTATAGTTCTGTGGCGGCGGGAAGGTAGGGAGCTACATGTTTACTAATTTATTATTGAAACATTAATTTTTACATAGTACATTTTTACATAGCTCTAGTACCTACGTAGCTCTAGTACTATAGCCGCTGGCAGTTAATGTAAGCGGGCTATTGTACTAGAGCTAGTACTAGTACTAGTAGTAGTAGTACCTACGACTACGAGGCTACGTAACTTTTCAGTTTCATATATGAAAATACTCTAGGCTGCTCTTAATCTAGCTCGCCCTTTAGTTTACGTCAAATCGTATTTGTATTAACCTATCCTTACCGATGGAAAAGTGGTTTCGGGGTATTTTTTGTTAGAAACGATACCTCAGCCAGATTAGACAACTGAAGAATATGACAAGGTGGAAGCTGACATCTTGAAATGAAAATAAGTTTGCGATAACTTTCAACTTATTTTATTTCGTCACATAATTAATATATCTGTATCGTAAATAGAAAAACAATCTTAATCTAGTTTGTTTATTGTGTAATATACATGTCAAATATAATAAATATAAACATTATTTATAACAAAATGCCTAGAATTTAAATAATTTAATGTTATTATTTTTACTCTCCAGGTGGCGGTAAACGGTCTATGTACATCCGGTCCAGGTCAAAGCTGAGAACTCAAGAACTCAGCTGAGAACTGGTCAAACTCAAAGGGCATATCATATTCCGTGTGTGTAGGCATGGTGAGCATAGAATTAGATATACACAACACATCACATGTTGTGTGTGTGGATCAAGAGTACATATATGTCTATTATGTCCTCTTGGTGTGGATCAGTCGAGCAGATTGCGTATTTTCATTGCATAAATGTCGTGACTGATTATCATTATCGACTGTCAGTGTGTCATTATGCAAACGGCCCAAGGATAGAGAACAATACTGTACAACTTCAAGCTGGTGTTATTATTAATTCGGGTAGCTAGTGTACAACTCGTCAACTGTACATTACTATATTAATTATTATTATTAAACACGTGTATGCATGGTTACATCACAGGCACTTCAAGTGCCTTGGAACGTCTCAATAAAAAAAAGAATGGTAAATAAACACGAAATGTATTTACTACCAAAGTCTTAATGTTTCTCTACTCTATTTCGCCTATAATCACCTGTAAATGCCGGTTAAATGCTCATCTGCAACACACAAGTACGCTGCACGCCCGCACTGAGCACAAACAACATGAATAAGAGAGCAGGTAGGAAAGCCTGATGGAAAAATTTGCTTTATGCTTGGCATGGCGGGCCTCGAAATGGAGGCTCGGAGGCCGGCAGCAGCTCATCCCGGCATGCAATGCGCCACCATTACTCGTGTATAAACAGACATCTCGTCCTCTTTACACTCTCTTTACATTTTCACGGAGAGAACATTTCCTGCAGCATTTCACGAGATATCTCTGGCGGGAGTAGGTAAGGACAAAGAGCAGAGTTAGAATTCGAACGAGTGAACATTTATGTACACATAGATACCAAGATGGAAGCTGTTGGATGTGTATTCGTGCTGTGAAGGTGTGAAATAAAGCGAGCGTCGAGCAAATTTTTCTATCAGGCTTTCCTACCTGCTCTCTTATTCATGTTGTTTGTGCACAGCGCGTACGTGCGGTGTACTTGTGTGTTGCAGATGAGCATGCATTTTGCGCATTTACAATGTGATTATAGTGCGAAAATATAGGCTTAGAGAAACATTAAAGACTTTGTAGTAAATAATATTGTGTTTATTACCTATTTTTTTTTTATTGGAGTTCCACAGTGCCTGTGGGTTTAATAAATTATCCATGCGGGCTGATGCACACTGGACACAGCCGTACCTTACATTCCATCTGACCTAAAATGACCTAGTATAATACGAACTAGTACTACTATACACGCTCGTAGTATAGATGCGCTTGAGTATGTGC